GGGTATTTGGAGAATGTCAGCCATCCTTTTAAATAGATCTTGAAACTGTTTGAATTCATCTCCGGCAGTAGGTGGCGGAGGCATGATGGTCTCGTCAGGCGAGGGAGGAGGGTTTGTGACAGGAATAGCCTCCTGGTGCACAACCTCCTCTGTTTCTTTGAAAGACTGCACATGGGAAATGTCAAATGGTGCTGCTGATGCTGGTGAGGAGACTATGACAGGGGTGGCCAACCCTGGCTCCGGAGCCACATGCGGCTCTTCAGAAGTTAATATGCAGCTCCTTGTATAGGCATCGACTCTGGGGCTGGAGCTACAGGCGCCAACTTTCCAATGTGCCGCGGGGTGCTCACTGCTCAACCCCTGGCTCTGCCACAGGCCCTGCCCCCACTCCACCCCTTCCCACACCCTCCCCTGAGCCTGCCATGCCCTCGCTCCTCTCCGCTCCCCCCCCCAGCCTCATGCATGCCACAAACAGCTGATCGGGAGGTGTGGGGAGGGCTGCCAGTGGGTGGGAGGCGCTGGGAGCAGGGGCAGCTAATGGGGGGCTGCTGATATGTTACTGTGGCTCTTTGGCAATGTACAATGGTAAATTCTGGCTCCTTCTCAGTTTCAGGTTGGCCACCCCTACTCTATGAGCTTCCCTGGGACCCCTCGGGCGTTCAGAGTAGTATTGGCTGTAGGCTGCCCATGGGTCCCAGAGGGCCATTGTGGTGATAAAAGCACTGGTGGAGGTTCCCATGGGTAACTGTACCGCCCCTGGAAATCTGATCTGGGGTGATGCTTAGGCTGCACTTGTGGCTCAAATCTGATACTGCCTTGCAAAGGTGAGGAGTGTTGGGACGAAAAAAAACCTTCCCCTTGCTTGTCTTCCTCGGTGATAGTGAAAACAGCAAGACAGTATCAGTACCAAAGAGAAGCGACTCAGGTGCCAGGGCAACTGACAGATCCGTAGGTGCAAGAAACTGTTGTAAGTTTGGTACTGGCAGTGCCGTCTGCATTTGCAGCGGTGCCGAGAGTTGCTGCGGTACCAGAAGGTATTGTGGCGCCTGAGGAATAGGTGCCAACATCAACTGCACCGAGAGGGAGGGAGCAAGTTTTACTGCTGATGCATCCTTGCAATGTGGCAAGGAGCTAGCAGGTGGCGTCAATGCCTTAGAAACTGCAGAGGCACTGGGCACCGAGTGTTTAGTTGTTGCTGCCGGTGCCATGGTGGAATGGGCAGTCTTTTCTCTTCCTTCCTTTTTAGAGCCTGCCCGCTTAGGGTCTGTGGCTTTGACGGTACCGAAGTCCCGGCTCACCCATAGGTACTTTGCCACAGTGTGGTTGGTACCGATGCTGGAGCCCAAATCGTGGAATGCTTCCTCTTAGGTCTGGTCTACACTGGGGGTCGGTGGGGGAAAAAAATCGATCTAAGTTACGTGACGTACTTTCTTGTGCGAGCCTCGAAGTTGTGGCAATGGGTGCATTTTGGGGGTACGTGTTTCCCCCAAGCACTAGACATATTGAGTGTCCACCTGAAAGTGGAACTGCCTCGTGGCAGGAGAGGCAACATTTAAAGCCTGGAGATCTTGGCATTTTGAAGAAAATATCCCAAGTAGGACGAAATGATAAAGGACTTTTTGTTTTTAAACAGGGAAGAAAGAGAGAGAGAGAGAGAGAGAGAGAGAGAGAGAGAGAGAGAGAGTGTGTGTCTTAATAAACTACCCTAACTATTTGAGACTCACACTAATCTAGCTGTTATGTACTGCTAACACGAAGGTAAAACTAGTGAGGCACTGTCAGAGCTCCAACTCAGACCAAGAGCGGTTGAGAAGGAACTGGGGGGTGGGGGGTGAGATGGGGGCAGCAGCCGCACAGCGCTAGTTAATTACTGCTGCAGGCGCGAGACTGGGAGAGCACGTGTGGCCCAGCCAGGTACTGCTGTCGAAATTCTCTGACTAGAGGCGCAGGGGCGCGCAATCACCTAAAGTGGAGCACCCACCAGGACTCCATTCAAAGAAGAACAGCACATTACTGTGACTGACCATTAAATTTCTCCTTTCAAGGTCTCCTTCAACGACATAGCCCCACATTGAGCTCTTCTAATGGCCCACGTGTTCAAAGTCAGCAGACAGCCACTCTACCTCTACTCCAGCAGCAACTTTTCCTCTTCGACTCACAGGTGGTATGAAGGATACAACAGACAGCTATAACCACTGGGATATTTTTCTCACTGAGATCTAATCTGGTGAGTAAACACTGCCAGTGCTCTTTCAACCTGATGAATGTGCATTCAAAACTGTCATTCTGTGCCGCTGAGTCAGTAGCTGAAACTTTCCAGGATGCTGTTGAGGTGGCCAGTGTTTGGCTTTGTAAGACAGGGGAGCAAGAGGTAGGCTGAGTCCCCCAAGATAATTATTGACATTTCAACATCACTAACAGCAATCTGCCCGTCAGGAGAAAGCATCCCTGCTTCCAGATTCATGAACAGCCGTGTTCTTAAAATGCAACCCTCCCCAATCAATCCACGCAAATGACAGTGAAGCATCCCTGATGATCTACCAATGCTTTCGTAACCACAGAAAAGTAGCCCCTTCTGTTGACGTACTCTGTGTGGGGCCAAAATAGGGATGTGTGTGCCATCTACCACCCAACTGCAGTTCGGGAACCCATAGCTACAAATATCCACAATATCCTACATATTGCAGAGCATCACAGTTCTGCTAACAGGAGATGATAAATAGCCCTACATATTTGCATGACAATAGCCCCCACTGTGGATTTTCCAACTTCAGAATGATTTCCCACTGACCAGCAGCAATACAATGCTATAAGCTTCCACGGTGCTATCACTACTCACTTCTCAACTGCCAGTACAGCTCTCATTCTTATGTCTATGCTCTGGAGCAAATTCGGCTAACAGATCCAGGAACGTGGCCTTTCACATCCTGTAGTGCTGCAGCTACAGCTTGTCCCATACCTGCAGTACGATGTGATCCAATCAGTGCTTGTTTCTCAGGCCCAGAACAGCCCTGTCTGCAGCTGTCCATGACCATCACCAAGCTCCAATTGTTTTTCGCTATGTCCCTTAACAATGTGTCTTGAAACAAATCATCATGATTCCCCATTGTTGCAGTATCTCCTGCAGCTCTGCAAATACCAGAGGATCATTCATTCTCTATTTGCAATGTTCATGACAACAGCGCAGAGCTGTCCAGACTTCATGCTTTTGGCAGAAATGGCAGACAGCAACAAGTGCTGCGAGAGTTTGTGGAATTTTTAAGAAGGAGCAAAAGATCACGGGATAAGGATGGCATGAAGAGGATGGAAAAAGTTGCATGATGGGAACTTGACTCCTTACTCCCAGTCACCCCTGCATGCCCCACAACTTGTGCATGCCCCACAACGCATTGCGAAAATTCCCTACAAGGCACTTCCCTGGAAGGTGGTATGTGGCACACTGGGATACCTATCAATGGTACACTGCACTTTGTGTCACCACAAGCACTCCCGGTGAGTACATGCAGCAGCGATGCAAGCAGTCAAGCATGCAGGAGCACTATACTAACTGCACCAGTTTCATGCTACTGCACCTTGCATTAACCAGTTTGTAGTGTAGACATGGCCTGAGAAGTGTGAATTGCCCCATTCATAACAAGCCCAATCCACTCATCCAAGGAGATACCACAGCTGCTGGGGCAGGTACAGGAAGGCACTCAGCTTCACCCTCTCCCCTCAGGGTGGCGAGAGAGGACCACCTCCTGCTCAAGGGAGAAGAGGGCCTCCTAATGCTGCTCTGGGACAAAAAGGAGTCCTCTTGCCACAACCATTCCAAATGAGGGCTAGGCATGGTAAGGAGGCAGAGTCATAGGATGCCCCATGTTATGGCGTACTATTACCCCAGATTGCGTTAATTTGGCCTTCACATGAAGTCACAGTTCTGCAAACCCTTATTCAGCGGGGTACTCCTGTTATTCACATGAGTAGTCTTAGGGCTGGTCTACACTAATGCTGTAAGTCTTTGACGTAACTTAGGTCTCCTTACAGTGGTGTCTACACCGTGTTATGTCAATGGCAGATGCTCTCCCATCGACTAGTGCGTCTTCACCAGACCTGCTAAATCAACACCACTGCATCAATTGCAGCAGTTTAGCTGCAATTTAGCTAGTAGCGTAGATGTGGCCCTACGCGAACGTCAAAAGAATACGCCCAGGAATAAGGGTTTGCTGAAACAAGAACCAAATGGCTAAATCAAGAGGCTGTTACCTCAGTGTAATAGCCTCTAGACATCCTCTGAGAAAAGTCAGCATTTGCAGCTTCAAACCTAATTTTTGAAAGCTACAAATCAAGTAATTTCTTCAACAGAATCTCATTTTAGGCACATCATTCACTACTCCTCCAGAGAACTTAAATATGTACATTTGCCTTAAAGTCAACTGTGCCAATATCAAAATTCAACTCCACCATTTTCTTCCTCAGTATCACAGTTCCATTATTACCACTGCCTATAACTGCAATGCCACCAACTACTCTATCTTTGACCTCAAATATAGACCAGAAGTAATGCCATGAAAGCAGTGATTTTTGTAGAAGGCGTTCACAGCTACAACTCTCATTGGTGGCATGATAAAACCTGAACAGATAGCTAGATACACGTGAAGACCTGATGCAACAATATAATGCATCAATTTGTATTATTGTACCTAGGAACTCTAGTCACGGACCGGGACCACATTGTGCCAGGCGCTAGAACAAAAAGATATATTCCTTGGGGCAAGGACTATGCTTACCACAAGATACATTAAAGAAAACGTGTTTATTTCAAAGCTCAATGCTTTATTAACTGCGCCTCAGCCCCACCATCGTGTACACTGAGTACTGAAGAAAAATAGTTAGGCCCTGATCCTGCAAACATTTAAGTAAAGTTAACCACAAGCCTAAGTGCTTTCAGAATAAGGGCCAAAGTTTGTAGAGCTGCATGAAGGAGAAAAAGCTTCTGATGGGAATTTATATTTACTTACTCTCCAGGGCCTCCACAGTAGCAGTAACATTGCTGAATATTGGTTTTATGGCCTGCATCCCATTCAAGGTCTGCTACGTTGTACGGTAATGTTTGCTTCATGACTTGTAGCGCTTTGGCATTTGGTCCTTTCTTCAGCGCACCACCCCTCTGGAACAAAACAGATCCATGTTTTTTATAAAAACAATAAGTGTAGTTATGCAAATTACAAAATCTTTCAACACAAAGGCGTATCTAGTTATAAAAATACTTTAAGAATTTTACCTGCAATTTTGATATACCAGCTGTTTTATTAAAAATAGCCTTTGAAAAAATATAATCAAATTTCATAGCTTCCAATTTATTCACAAGAATTTCCCATCCAGATCAAAGCCAGGAACTGTGGGAAATCTCTCACAGCACTAGTTTTTATTTGTCATTTTCAACCTCACACTTAAAAGTTTACATTAACCACCATACAAATACTATGGAGGAGTAGATGTACAAGTTAGGTCAGCCTGATAGACAAAAATTTGTTTCCATAACACACCTTTGTTGTTGTTGCAAAAACACACTGTCGACAGAGCCATTTATCATCTGAATCAATCACGCTGGAATCAATATTTGGTGTGTGACACAGCTGATGATAACCTGAATTCAAAATACAGATTTTACTCTTATAAAGAAACCCATTAAAGACTTTACCCATATTTATAGGAACTAAAAAGTTTTAGAAAGAAAAAAAGTTGTTTAAAACAAAGTAAAATATCCTTCATTTAAGTAAAAAGATTGTGATCAGGTAATAAGATCAATAGTGTTCCAAATGCTCTTTTTAAAGTTCTTGTGGTAAAAACTATATTCACAAAACAGACCTTGTAAGTCAGTTTACAATAAACAAGAACTGTGAAAGATTACAAAACTCAAGCCAAAAAGCAGTCAAGCATTCACCCCTGTTCTGGCTTTTTTTGCCTTTCCATTGGCCACAGCTGAGAATAAACCAAAAGGTCTTAAATGAAACAAACGTCAAGAAACAGAAGTTACCTTGGCCACATTTATCACATATAACCATTTCATTAGGTGCTTCGGAATACTCTTCCTGACATATCGTACAGACCATTTCCCCACTTTCAGTGGCTCCTGAAAATAGACAAAAGTGTAACTCATTTTATACATTTATTTTGAATTTTCCCAGTTAAATCTCTTTTTAACTAAAATCTTTAGTTGGGAAGATCATTAATTACTTTTCTTTTTGTAGTCTGAGTCACGTGTGTGTGGATTGCAGGGAGCAGATTCATGCTATACTGAGTAATCCACAAAATAGTTAAGATACTCATCACCCGTTTGGTTTTGGGACACAGACCAGATCTCACCAGCACTGTTAGCAACAACACATTGCAAAGCATGACCATTATCCCCATTCCATTATAACAAAAACCTACAGGAGGGGATAGAAGCACTGAGGAAGCACATAGCAACTGTGTGGCATAGTGAAAAGACTACTGGGACTATTCCTAGCTGGATGACCTTGGGCAAGGCATTTCACCACTCTGTGTCTCAGTTTCCCTTCTGAAAAATCGGGATAATGATGACAAGCACTATACAAGTTAGGTCTTTTGATTATTATCTAGCCTCAACAGCATATCAACTACAAACCCAGATAAGAAATACAACTGTCTAAATGGTCGCTAACTTCTAACAAACATTTTTCTGTTTAAAAAACGAGGAAGTTAAATGGCAAAAAGACTTCATTAATGTGGACATAAGTATGTCCAGTGATAACTTGTGCCCTTCTAGAATGCTGAGGTCAGCAAAACTCAAACTTCTGAAAACCAGAAAACACATAGTTAAGGTAAACAGCCTCACTTCCTTAAATCTGCCTTCTGAGCAATGCCCCAATATACACACAAGCCCACTCTGGGGCTTTTCACTATAATGGACAGGTGCTACCTACACTTGTCCTATGCTCAAACACTGAGCCTAATTACTGCCCCAACATACTTCTTACCCATTTACAAGTGTAGTGACTTGACTGCAAATGTGAAGGAGTTGTAAAATTTAAGATACCATCTAAACCTATACTTTCCCCTTTCATTAGATCCACAGAGTGCTCTCATATTCTACCTCAGTATTCATAATACCCATAGCAACAAGACCCCAGAGCCCCGCTACTGACAACCTCCATAATTCTGTATTGAAGCAATGCAAACTGGAACCTCAAGGTATATATGCACCTCTTTTCTTTGATAATACACATGGGGGGAGGGGGATGGAATGGGGGTGACTCAGACCCAAATCTCCTTGTATTACAATCCCAGCTCTTCTAAACTGCTCCAATTTTTTCCTTCACTATTCAATACAACTGCACCCAACAAAGTGAATGCACCTGGAGTGTATGCAGCTAATTCTTAGTGGTTATTGCCAGCTCCAGGGGGGTACAATTAAGGTTGTATGAGTGCTTATCTTGACTATTTCCTGGGTTCTTAGAAGTTTGAGTTTTGCTAAACCTGACATTCTGGAGGGGCATGAGCTATAACCAGCAACCTTAACTCTGCATTAACAATTATTTTGCTATATAATATAGGTGCAGAATCAAAAAGATGCATCTGCAAAATTCTAGATAGGCAACTGTGAGCTTTGTTTTGTATGCAGAAACACATTATGTTCAGTAATTTATTGTATCTTTACATAAAGATTTTTTTATGTGCAATTTATGTTCATAGCTTTTGAAAGATTTGCCCATAGTGCTTTGCATTTTCTTAACAGTAAATACACTGTTAAATAATCCTTAAAAATCCTGTGAGAGGGGAAGTCACTATTTATATAAAACCATGTACATAAGTGTGCAGCATTAGTTTAGCCCCATGTCTATTTGGCTAGACCATACTAGCACAAGTTTAGCTGCTGCTGCAGATGAAGCCCCATAGGCACTCCACACAAACAAGAATGTGACTTTTTAAAATGGAGATTTTGTTTTTCTTAAAATTTGATACAAGTATAAGGACATTTCACATTAAGATGGCAGGAAAAATGTTTGGCCTAACAAATAGGTAGCAGTAATGACCAGGTCCATTTACCATTATTTACATTTGGCCAGGAAGATGTGACTGTTCCTCTCTGACGCAGACCTTGCAACTGTCATCCATACCTTTGTCACCAAGATTACACAACAGCAATGCACTCTAAACAATACCTTAAAGCCATCTGAAAACTGAAGATGGTTGCAAAATCCAGTGGTGCACTATATCACTGCAAGCATATTAAATCAGCACTTCACAATCTGCAGCAGCTGCCTGTGGGTTTCTGGTGAAGTTTAATGTGTTGTTCCTGACCTATATGATTTAGGATTTACCAATCTGCAAGACTGCCTGCCTCCCTCCCCACGCGATGGTTTATTGATGTTGGGTCTTTAAACTGTACTGCATTTAAGATGTGTTTTTAACTCATTTCAAGAGACTACCAAGGACACTGTACTTTAGCATTTAAATTATTCTAAATAAATAAAATATTGATAATTTAATTGAAGTTCTTGCCTGTCTGTATATCCTTCCAGAGAACCCAGGATTTGGAACTGTCTTCAAATATAACGAAGCAGCTCTGTTTCAATTTGTTTATCTGAAAAATAAAGATACGATTACGATTTTGTGAATATGTAGAAACGTTAAAAATAAGGAAGAGCTTTATTTAACATTGTAGTCAAGCTTAACATATGATGCTACAGGACTTCCTGCATGTTAAAAATTAGTTACCTTTTTGATAGTTCCAAGATAAAACAAGCCATCTGACCACCTCGCTAGGACATCCTGACCTTCTTCAAATTTACACACTGGCTTTTTGGCTTTCTGTCCATCCCGTAAGGACAGCTTGGCCAAGGATGTTGGTGTCTTTTGGTTTCGAGGTAAAGGAGACCGCTTTTGGACCAGTGAATTACCCACCCCTGTAGAGTCTCTAAAAGAAAAAGAAAAAACTAAATTAGGATAATGTATTAAACTTGTCACTTGTACTTCAGTCTGCCTTAATAGCACTTACAAAGAAAAGCCTCTCTGCTAATCCCCAGAACTGTGTAATAAGTCAATAACTAAAACACATTGCCATTAAAATTCAAAAAGCATCAAAACCAATCAAGGGAATCCAATACTTAACAGGGAAAGGGAGGAAGGAGGAGAGACTGGTTCAATGTGAGGCCATAAAAACAACTTTGTACGGTGACCTATATAATCATTGTTATTATTCTATAGTGATAGAAATTACTTGTTTAAGGGCAATATGGATCTAGATAAGAAAATTGTAATTTTAGTAGCTCAAAAGTTACAACTCAGTTCTTAGAACAAACTGTCCCTTCTTCCAGGACAAGCTGCTCATCTACCTGTATTTAGATCCCCTGGATGCTCTGGCTGACCCAGTACATCTAACTTCAGCCTGAAAATGAAAACGCCTCCCATCTCATTTTTCGAGTACACTGAAAGGCAGAAGAAACATTCTGCATGCCCAGACCATCACTTTGCTACATTTCTCTTTCCGACTCCACTCAGACAGTTGAGTTACAAACTATACAAGAGAATGCATGTGGCAGATTGTCCCCAAAGTACACTATGGAGCCAGGGAAGCAGCTCCAGGGGGTGGAAGGACACAGACAGGTGCAAGGGAGCCGAGGCTGAGGCCACAGTCAGGGGCGGGAATGGAGATGAGGCCGCAGGGCTGGCAGCCGGGACCCCAGGCACAGGGCCAGGGGCGGAGCTGAGTGGTGTCCCCCCCCCCCCCCCCCGCAGGAGCTTGCCTAAGTCCTAGCCACATACCCCCCGAACGTTCCTTGGCACGCCCCACAATTTGGGGACCTCAGTACTGTGTAATGCAACTATAATTTGGTGGCATTTATGAGGAAACTGAGGTGGGAAGCAAGTTTTCATTTTCCACATAAATTTGGATAATTTATATACCCAAAATTTAAATAAAGTGCAGCACTTAGTACAGCAGCCACAAATGAAGTTCCATTCATTTAGATCAGGGTTTCAGTTTTCCTAGCACATTTTTTTTTCTCTTAAATTTGTCTAAAAAGACAGTAGTCAAACAAAACTTTAAAATAGCTTAGGGCAGATCTACACTACAAACTTGCATTGGCACAGCTACATCTCTTCTCGGCTTAACTCCACCTCTGTGAGAAGTGATAGCTATGACCATGGGAGAAGCTCTTCTGATGACAAAGCACAATCTACATAGGGGATTAAAGTTGGTACACTACCGGGCTAAGTCAATCTAAATTTCTCCATCCCATCATTCCACGGGCTTCCTAGTACATTTTGCACTGCTTTTCAACAGACCCTGTAAACTGCGCACCCACAGTTCTCTGTCAGGAAGCATGGATCCTGCACAGCTCTCCAGTACTGCAAGGAGCCTTATGAACAGAATGCACCTGATCCTGCAGTGTTTCATGAGCTGCAAACTGATGACACTGTGGTGTCTGCCCTGTTGTGTGCCATGGACAGAAACAATTCAAGATTGCTGTTGGCATTCACAGAGCAGCCGACGGTTCTGGGTGTGAGAAACAAGTACTGAGTGGTGGGACTGCATTGTTATGTGGGTATGGAATGATGAGCAGCGGCTGCAGAACTTTCGGATGTGCAAAGCCACCTTCCCGGAACTGTGTGTGGATGCCCTCCAGCGCAATGACACGAAAATGAGAACTGCCTTAACAATGGAGAAGCCAGTGGTGATCGCAGTGTGGAAGCTGGCAATGCCAGACTGCTATCCAATAGTCACAAACTAGTTTGGAGTGGAAAAGTCCACTTTGGGGGTTGCAGTGATGCAGGCGTGCAGGGCCATTAATCGTCTACTACTATGAAGGACTGTGACTCTAGGCAACAGGTGTGAAATAGTGGCAATGGGATTCCTTAACTGTGGTGGGGCAATAAATGGCGCGTATATCCCCATTTTGGCCCCAGCCCACCTTGTGACACAGTACATCAACAAAAAGTACTATTTTTCTATGGCATTGCAAGCGCTGGTGGATCACCAAGATCATTTCACTGACATCAACACGGGCTGATCAAGGTGTATGACACACACATCTTGAGGAACGCTGGCCTGTATAGGAAGCTGCAAGCAGGGACTTTCTTTCCAGACCAGGGGGAATGTGGAAATGCCAGCTGTGATCCTGGGAGTCTTACATCAGCTCTGTACACCTGACTGCAGCAAGGAGCACTTCAACAACAGGCTCAGCAGGCACAGGGCTTAATGGGGCACTGGCAGTGCCTCTTTGGCAGGTTGGACCTCAGTAAGGAAAATATTTCCATGGTCATAGCAGCCTGCTGTGTTCTGCATAACATTTGTGAAGCTAAAAGGGGAGAAGGTTCCACAACGTGGAGCGCTGAGGTGGACCGGCTGGCTGCTGCTTTTGAGCAGCCAGATACCAGAGCTTTAAATGGGGCTCAAAGGGGAGCTATTCGAATCAGGGAAGCTTTAAAAGAGCATTTTGACAATAAGCCGCTGTAATGTATTGAGCCAGGCATTGTTTTCTTGCATCATAGTATGAACCTTGTAATGATTTGTGTGTGCGCAGTAATTTAAACAATGCAAATGCACCTATTGGCACTGTCTGAATTTTAGCAGCAACCACTGTATATAGGAGACAGATTCATTCACTTTCTGTAAGTACATTTTTATTCCACACCCATGCAAACATTTCTATGTTTGGTAGGAACATGAAAATCAAAAGCACAATTGCCAATGAGGCTCTCACCGCTGGATGTATGTCTAGCTGTCATTGTGGAAAATCTCCCTTGGGTATGACAGCCCTAGAAGATGTGAGGTGTGTGTGAGGAGGGCCTAGAAGGCAGTTCAGTATGGGCTGCAGGAGGAAGTGAGCATGGATGTGTTCCACCTGAAGTTCATTCAGGGACCGCAACACATCTGTTTGCTCCCTAAGCAGCTTTATCATCTGCTCCTGCCTGTTTCCTATCCTGACTATCCATCTGCAGTTGGTCATTGGTTGCCTCTCTCCATGCTGTCTGCTCCCAATCCGAAGCACCAGAGGATTGCATCACCTCCTGGAACACATCATCTTCCTTATTCCTCTTGTTTTGTCTCCTTATCAGATGGAGAGACTCAGCCAGTGTGCAAGAGAAGACCTTCAAGGGCACCTCTGCTGATGCTAAAGAAACACCACAGACAGAAGCTCTATTGCGAGTGCACTCACACCCTTGATCCAAACAAGTTAGAAACACAACTGTCTCACTTTCCCATGGCAGGCATACAGCACGGCAGTAGCCCCAGCCATGCTGAGTTCAACATGGGGGTGATAGCGTGGGTATCTCGCTCCTGAGGGTAACCGAGGATGCAAGAGTACAGCTCCTGCATGCATGTAGATGTATGCTGCTCTCCTATGTGCTGCTATGATGCTTGCAGAAGTAATTGTCGATTGGCACAGCAAAGTTTCCTACTGCAGGGGAAGAAACAAGGCAGCCCTCCCAAGAAACCTTTGGCAGAGGATTGCAGATTACCTCCGTGAAAGTTTTCTAGAGTTCTCTATGGATGATTCTCGGGACATCCCAGTGTGCATAAACTAATTTTTCCACAGGGCCCCTCTGCCTACCTGCACAGGTGAACCAGATACAAACTGTACCTGTCTTGGTTATTTCAATCCCTCTTCTACCCTGGTTAACAAACCAGATCAGCAGCATGTGTCCCTGCAGAATTAACCGGAGCTTCCGTCTCCTGCATTAGGCGCACCAGAGCCGGAGTGCTGGGACTGGCTAGACTGCTCCGGAATTAAAAAGAAGTTCTGGCTTGCCACACCATTGGATGTCCCTGTCGCCTGTCTCCCATCCTCCTCCAACTCCACTTCCTCGTCCACTAAGTCATCCTCGGGGTTCACTCTGCTGGCTATTGACTCCAGCCCCCCTAAAGTATCCACAGGGCTCTTGACAGTTGAGGTGGGGTTGCCGCGGAGGATGGCATACAGCTCCTTCTAGAAGCAGTACGTCTGAAGTGCCACACCAGAGCGACTATTAGCCTCTCTTGCCTTCTGGTATGCCTGCCTCAACTCCTTGATTTTTGAACAGCACTGCTGTATCCCCCTATCATACGCCTTCTTTTTAGGTGACCCCTAAAACTCCTTAGTTCTTCTTGGACGCTTTCTAATTCTTCGCAATCGTTCTGCCACCAATAACAAAGAGGGAGGCTGTGCTCCGAAGGTCATCTCTGTGAAGTTTAAATGCAACGTTTTACAGAAGCAGTATTGTTTACAACACAGACAACACTGTTTCAGTGCTTTAAAACACAGCCAGTACTCACATACCTGTTACTAACTGGCTGACCCCAGGCAAGCGCACACAAGCCACAAGACCCCCAAAATGATGATTGGGCACAGGGTCAGGGTAAATCACTGTTCCCAGACCCTGCTGTACACTGGGCACGTGGCTCTTGGGCACCTGGGGAGAGCCAGCACTGTAGGGGGCAGGGGGCTGATAATCATTCCTGTCCCCACACTTTCCACAGGAGGCTATCATTATGGAAGATATCTCGCTGCTGAGGGTGAGCAGGGAATCAAGGGAGGGTCTTCTCCAAGCTTGCGGCTTCTGCCCTGGCCCCCGTGTGGCTAGCCTGTGTGCAGCAATGGTCCCCACCCCCCGTGACGGCACAGTGGCGCAGGAAAGTTACCGTTAATGGGGCAAGAAACAAAGCAGCCCTTCCGAGGAACCTGTGGGAACAGATTGCCCAGTATCACCATGAGAGTTTCCTGGAGATCTCTGAGGGAGATTCCTGCGAAGTGAGGGAGTGCATCAACAGCCTGTTCCACCGCTCAAACTAGGCATGAGGTAGGAGACAAGCCTGCTTTCTGCAACCCTCCTGTCCCCAACAACTCACTTCAGCAATTCCCAAAATCAGATCCGCTTATCAGGGGCCTCCTCTCCTGTTTGCGCTTCACCAAGATCTGACTGTTGTGACTGGCC